GTCAATTAATAAACTTTTCAGGGTCATTCTATTGTTTCAAGAAAAATCTTTCTTATTTTTACTCACTACACACTAATTAAATAATTTAATTTTCTCTCCCCAACTCAGAAAAACTGCAAGCTTTTGATGGAATGAGATATTGGTATCAGTTATCCTTAGTTTTACCTCTGGTTTCACAATGATTGCACGACATATAGAGATCAATCATAACATAAACACCAAGAAAATGACCTAAATTTAAGAGTGAGAATTTGCATTGTTTTTAATTCTTTCATATTTCTGTTGAATTTTAAATACTTCCCTCGTTTGTCTTATCCTGCAGATGCTTGGAGTTACATGCATTAATAATAATCATAGGGGCTGGGGATTTAGCTCAGCGGCAAAAGCGCCTGCCTGGCAAGCGCAAGGTCATGAGTTTGGTTCCTGGTACCGGAGAAAACACCAAAAAAATAAATAAATAAATAAATAATAATAATAATAATAATAAACTTCTGTCTCTCTTAGTACAATGGCCTCCATGAAGAAAGCTTCATATTTATCCAAGACGACAAATTTCAATGGCAAGAATTTGCATTAGAATGAGGAGAGGCATTTTTATTATTTGAAAATAGTTAACTAATAATGATTTATAGAGAATGTCACATGAGGTCTATTTGCACTAGTCAGACAAAATGAGAAAACAAAGAAAATTTGCAAAGATAAACAAAAGGTTCTTTGTAGATATAGCTTAGGAACTAATATAGGCATTTTATGGACCTTAAAGCATTTCACAGCCAAAAAACTTTTTGACTCAAAGAATAAACTGAGACCACATATAGTCCTATATTGATGATGCCAGTATGACCCTCAAGGATAGAGGTGTTTTATAAACTTTTACACATGCAGATTTTAAGTTGAATAAATTTAATAAAGAATGTGTGCAATTCTGTGTAGTGCCTAGACTAAACTTATTTTAATGATTTCTTTTAACTTTACCTCTTATTCTGTTTGGACCTTGTACACCTAAAAATTTCATACCTACTATAAATGCTTATTGAAATCTTTGATGATTTCTTTAAAAAGTCAAAAAATGTACCTCAGTTTTAAAGACAAATTTTACTTTCCTTATTGACCACTTCTCATTGTGATCTACTTATTAATTGATTAATTTAATCAGACTCACTCGATTTAAGTGCTAGAAAATTATCCCTATGAGTTACAGTAATTGAACTGATTGATGTGTTTTTCATATTTATTACAACTTTTAAAATCTGTTTATCTACTGAATGTTGTAAATGAAGTTAAATCACAAGAGATGCTGTTTATCAAATTAAGTATCTACTGTATTGTCAGTTTGCTTAAGCAGGGCCATTTCGAAAAACAATAACAACAACAAAAACCTGTTAGCATCTCATTTTAGCAATGTAATGCCGCACTTTTTTGAGCCCACATTCTACAAAATTAAGAACAAATAATTTATAAGACTTATATGGCTTCAGTACCTATATTTCCAAAATGAGGACTTCAAAGGTTCTCTCCTGACCTGTTTTATGAAGGTTCCAGCAGGTCTTCAGCTTGGTCCTCAATTTCTAATACCCAAGATTTAGCTTTATTCCCCTCTTTCAACATTTTTAAGTTGGATTTGGATTTGACATAGGCTGCACTCTAATGGTTGACTTTTTTAAATTAGATGTGCTTTTCTATTCTGATGATGAAATGTCTTAGAAAAACCCAAGTTGTGTTTAATGATAATTTGTCTTATCAGTCAATTTTCTATGTTGGTAATATCAGGCACTCTGGAAGCCCCTTAATGCCCATCTCTCCTTATCTTCTATGAGATAGTTGTAATAAAAGACAAACATTTGCTTTATTGGGAAACATTTTTGTATAAGGACAGGGAGAGAGGCTTGGTCAATTCCCTTCCGAGCCAACCAGCTGGGACTGGATTCTAGGATCCTGGCTTGATGTCACTGATACTGAAAGCCTCTGTGGATGCAGTTATCGTTTGACTGATGGGTTTAGCATGGCAAAAGAATGACTCACTGTAGTTTATCAAATACCCTGAATTAACAATTCCACCCATCATCACTTTAAAGATGAATTCCATCTTTTAACAAGAAAGAGATAAGTGTATATGCCACAGGTAGGTAAGAAATGATATTGAGGCAGCAGAATTGAAAAACATAAATACAATACAAAGAAAACAAATATAAAAGCAGTATAGTACAATAATTCCCAAGAAGTTTATAGAAAATATATTTACTAGCTAAGGATCTTGGGTGGGTGGTGAAGATTTAAAGACCTTAATAAGATGGACTTTTCCTGTTTGTCCTTGTGATGGCCAGGGATAACAGCTGATTAGCAAATACTGAGAAAGAAAAGAACTAATGAAATTGTACTGTATATGTGTGTATTTTTTAAAATGAAATTCTACTGAGGTCTTCATATGTCCAACTCCAAGGATAATTAGAAACAGACCTTTGCTATTATATATTATGCATTTATCTTTACGGATCTGTGACAAATCTGAAAATGAGGCTAAGAAGATCCAGAGAAGATATGGATTTAACGAGTGACAGAGAAAAGAGCCTGGAATTCAAAATCTTTTTCTGCCTGTGCGTTCTGATTTTGTGAAGTAGAAACAAAAACATGAAGTCAAGTCCTAGGCTGTCACTTATTGTCCTAGCATCAATGACTTGCTCTTCTCACTCTACATCTCACACTCCACTTTCTGCATTTATTTATTTACTTAATCTCTAATTCCCTACACTGGCTCTCAGTAAGACTGAAGCAATGGGTAAAGTGTTCCTCTCACTACCCACACACCTGGGCTTGTGAGTTTTCCTACCTTTCGGTTTACATCTTGTCTCCCATCCAATACTCTTTCCCTGGTCTTCCCTGCTGTGTTTTGCCCATAGCAAGCTTTCAATTAATCCCTGCTGAGGTGTTAAGAGATAACCAAAGTATTAACTCAAGTGCGAATTCTCCGAAGACTATTTAAGAGTTGAAAGCAGGCTCTTTTAAGACTCAAATGTTCAGTTATTTAGGGAAAGTGACAGAAAAGGTTTCTCAGTCATTAATAGCATCACAATGACTGGACTTTTACTCTTGCAACCAACCTGCCCAGGGAATTAGCAGAGATAATGGTAATGAATTTGAGGAAGACATTTAAGGAACTCTGGGAGTAGTGGTAAATTACAGAAGAGCATAAATGCAAACAGGTAAGGACTCCCACTTCCAGCTTTAGAATTTTAAACTTGCAGTTCTCTTGTATACTCTACAAACCATCAGACCTGGAGTTACCCTCTGAGAGCCTTTTCTTGCAAGGTGTACAGTTATTGCTTGTTTAGAAATATTTATACTTTGGAGAAGTCTGGAGCTACATTTTGGATAGTTGTCAGTGAAAGCTAGGTGCAAAAAGATTCTGTGAACAAGTTAGGATCAGCAAGTTTTATATATATGGGTGCATAAAATAAATATACATATTTTAACATGATCACTTCAGTCTTAGATGACAAAGACTATAATAAAATGTTGAAAGGGTGCCTTCAGGGATGGGGATGCTAGAGCATCATTCCACATTAAATATTTTGTGAAAAAAAAGTATACATCATTTTACAGGTAGGTTACAGAGGTAGAAGGCCATTTTTACTTTAAACATTACTGACATCTGCCATGCAGCAGGATTTCACCTAGAGCATAATTTCTGTGCTTTCACTGTTAGAGTTAAATTTTAGAAGAATGAGGTTTTAGAATGTAATGACATATGCTTATTGTCTCAAGAAGGAAGCATTTCTTTAAATTCTGAGATAGACAGATGAGGATGGACGCAGAAGAGGGTGAAGACCACAGAACAGGAAGAAGCGATGGTAGAGGGTGGACCGACAATCGTCTGACCATGTAGGGAACAAGATTTTAAACAGTCTAAAATGCACGGGAAGGCTGGACATAACTAGGCTAAAATAAATTCCTTCCTTTGGAAAATTAGTACTCATTAGTGTCCTCTAAGATATCTGATAAATGCTTAGGTCAATCAGGGCTTCTGTGAATTGCAGTGGCAGATTCGGCATTTTTCCCCTGTGATTCAGCACAGTAGAGATGAGGGGAATTAAAGAAAACATCTCTTAATGAGTTAGAAATAGTAGCTATTCCTTTTATTTAAACTGCGTGTTACACATTCATTTTGATCCCACATTTATATTTTAGTATCTTTTGAAAAAAGTAATACAAGTGTCATCGGAGAATGAAGTGGAAAGGTACATAGCAGCTATTGCTTGTATTCAAATAGCTCCTGAAGTTTTGGAAACTACAAGAAATTTTCAAAGCTCATAACTTTGAGAGATGTAGTTTTGGCCAACATATCTAATAATTCAAATGGGGACACAGAACATTATGTAGTCTTTTGGCTTCCACAAATCTCTTGAATTACGATGCAGTGTTCACATCACCTGAATCCTTCCAGTATAGGGGAGAGGCTTCTCCTCTGATTTAGGTCACAGGGGCTCATTTTTAAATGATTTTCAGGTTATTTGGGATATATAAAGAAAAGTCACGAAGAATTAAATGTTAGGGAGTCAAAGCACTCTTCTCATTTTGCAGGAAAAAGACATGGAAGGCTTTTAAAGTTTTTGATTCAGATACTAGAACATAAAATACAGTCGCCAAGGAGTTTCTATAAAGCCATTAAAATGCACCTGCACGGTGCGTGAAGACTTACATGTACTCAAATACCCTACGTGGTAATGATCCTACCTTTGAAAAGGAAAAAGAAACGGTTCCTCTCTTTAACCTAACCCAGAAATTCACAACAAGCTACATTCCTGACCAGGCAGATCTGCCCAGACCCTGTGATGGCCTTGCTTCAGGGTGAGTTCGGGGCAGGTTTACAGGGTAGAAAGAACCCAAGCATTCTTCCTTGGTGAAACATAAAGTTTTCTTCAGATCTCATTTCCCACATCTGCTTGACTGCCCTGGAAATTGCAGAGCAGGGGCAGCTAAGAGAGAAGCCGGGGCGCAGAGAGAATGAGCAGGCTGCCTGGGGAGCGGAGAAGCTCTCTCGGAGGGGAGATGTTAGAGAGCGGAGACAGATTCCTAGGCCAGGAGCTACCGCACCCCGTGGCTCCAGCGGAGCGTCGCATCCGGAGCCCACTCACTGCAGCTGGGATTCAGGCAGCGGAAGGTGGGACTGGAGGAGGTGGAAGAGGGAGAGGAGGAGGAGGGAAGGAGGAGCGGGTGAGCCGAGGGGAACCGCGGGCGCCCGGCGGGGGGAGGGTGGGGACGGGGCGCGCGCGGGCGCGGGAGCGGAGTGGACGGCTCCAGACGGCGGCGTGCGGCAGAGAGCAGGGAGTTGGCGGAGCTGGGCTGCGTTTCCAGCAGGAGCTGCGAGCACAGAGCCGCCGCACAACAAGGTGATGCGCCAGGAAACGGCTTCTTCCCTGCCCGTTGAGGGTGTGCGGCTGGGGCTTCCTGCTTGGTCCCCGCTGTCCTCCCCGGGGTCCGCGTGTGTGCTAGTGCGGGGTCTGGGGGCGACACCCCCGTTCCTGCCTGTCTCTGCCTCCCCCTGCTCCCACCGCTGCCCCTGCGTGTGTTCCAGGGGCGCCCCGGGCTCCGGAGCCCCTCGTCTGACTCTGCCTGCCCCCTCCCAACCCGCTGTGTCTCTCCTTCCAGATGCTCCGGGTGTCCGCCGTGCTGTGTGTGTGTGCAGCCGCTTGGTGCAGTCAGGCTCTCGCAGCCGCCGCGGCCGTGGCTGCGGCCGGGGGGCGGTCGGACAGCGGTAATTTTCTGGATGATAAACAATGGCTCACCACAATCTCTCAGTACGACAAGGAAGTCGGACAGTGGAACAAATTCCGAGACGTAAGTGCTGCGCACTCACATCCCCAGGCACGCGCGCGCTCCGCTCCGAGGCAGGGCTCGCAGGGGCCGGGGAGGGTGGGAGTGGGCTCGGTTTTCCTAGGAAAGAGATTTGGGGGTTCAGAGCTGCGCACCGCCGCTCACTTAGCAGCTCCGCTGCCCACCTCCTGGCTGGGGCAAGGGACGACTTGTTTTGGTGGGTGCACAGGAGTTCGGGGTCACACCAGGTTCCCACTGTACCCCCCTCACACTTCCCCCTGAGCCCGCATCCCAGGCTCCCAAAGGTCTACAAAGTGCTGGCTCTACGTTCTCAACTTTTGAATGGTGTTCCTGGCACTGGTAAACACGGCAGATGTGCCTTTGCGTTGTATTGTTACTAAAGTAACTAGGATCGATCCTGTTACTAATGGTCCATTAAGGAATTTGAGGGAGGAGGCAGGAAGATGTAAGATTTATAAATGCCCGCTCTCCAAGAGTGGGAGGTTGTTTGGCGGCACCAGTCGGCAGAAGTTGAACTGCTCCTGATTACATAAAATTGCCCATCTGATTTGTGTTTCAGCGTTCACTTTAATGCAGAATGTGTTTGCAATGCATTTGGTTATGTTTTATTCCAAAACTGAGCACCGGGTAAAATCTGAGGCGCAGGGACCTTGCAGGGTGCGGGGATCCTCTGCAGGTGACGGCGATGAAAGTGTTGGAGTACAGAACCCCTTGGAGAATTTCCTCAGGGGTTGTTAAGAGGCAACTAGTTTTAGAGACGCCGGACATTCGTTTGCTTGGAGCCAGAAGCCAGGACTGTTAGACATTTTTTTTTTTTTTTCTCCATCTGATCTGAATGGAGCCAGGTGAGGGCGGTTTCTGTCCAGAGCGCAGTTCGTAGGGACACATTCAACTTGGTTGTTCTGGTGAGGAGGCCGCGCTGACCGCCTATTACCGCCTCCAGGCACCCTTTAGGGAGCCAGAGTGATTCACAGACGCACAGGCAACCCTTCCTGTGACATTTGAGAGGATTTCTATGAAGGCCATCTGCAGTGCTCTACGTGGAGATGTGTTAACTTCTTTCGTCAGCTGACGCTCTGTCACGATTTAGGAAAATAACTGGAAGCTGGGGCTAGTTTTCATCTTGGCTCCTTTACCCCTTCCTCCCAGCCACCCGCTCTATAAAGTAACTGGCAAGCCAAATCCCACCCAGAGAACCTGAAGGAAAAGTAATTTGACTTTAAATTCAGGTGTAGCTAGTCGAGGCTGGGCGTATAGATAGGATAAAAAATGATAATGGTATTACTTAATGGAGGACTTAGTCTTACATGGTTTGTGAGCAAAGCTCAAACGTTCTGTTGCTAAATGAAGACTCATATGCTTACATATTTTAAGTTTATAATAACAATAAATCTGATTCAAAAAGTGAGAAAGCAAATGAAATAGTTATGAACCTGGAGAGAACTTCTGTGTATTGTGCCCTCATTTAGTAAAAGAAAATATATATATGAAAAACCCTGGAAATGTTGTCAGTACTTGCACAATGCTTAATGCTTTGGCATTCATTTGTGTAATAGATGCTTTATTGTGTTTCAAAATGAATTTTGGCCTTTCTTCATCAGAACATATTTTCAATCTTGGATATCTTCATGTTCTCTTAATTTAGCTAAATTACTTTATTGAATTATGCAAAGTGAGCAGCCCATCCTTGCTCAGTTTGACTGTCTTTGATTTAAACTATCATAGCAAGCTGAAATGCCCACTGTAGAACTAAACACAGTAGAGTTAGTTCAGCCAACTTCTGTAGAGGCAGAATATTTTATTGCTATAGTATTCTCAGACATTCTTATATGCTCTCTCAGGGGAAAGCCCATCAAAACTGTATGTAAATTTATATAAGGGATTTATACAGATATTTTGAGCTAACACCTGTTTGGAAGTACATGCAGTACATGAGAATATAATGATGATTTATTTGAAAATCTCATAGAAGGTTTCAGAATTATCCTTTCAGTAAGACAATTATATTTTTGTCAAGAAGACTTCTGGAAGGCAGGAGAAAGATAAGCAGTATCAGCTTCTCCCTTACCACCTGTTGCTCATTATTGACATGGTATCTTGTTTGCTGACAGCATGGGTTCACAAACCATAACTCAGAATGCACAATGTGGACTGCTTATTTGGACCCTGCATCCCACTGCTGTTGCCGTCTTTCTTTTCCCCTTTGGGGGTATCATTACCTTAATAATTTTTCTCCTCAATTCTCAGGATTTTTAATTTTATTTTTGGCTGGAAACACATGATTATAAGACCTCATTTCAAATAAGAGTGTTCTACTTGAATCTACCTTTAAAGCTTCTGAATGAACATTTATGTCTGAAATAACAGATTTACGTCCCTCAGTTTACACAGTGACAACAAAATAAGGAAGTCTGAACCTCTTCTTGTAGAATCAACTAAATGGAAGTACTGTGTTACATGCCTCCCATTCATGAGAATATGGTTAATGTCATTTAGAAAGAAAAACACTGGTGATGCTTCTGCAAAACTAATCGTAGCATTAAATCCTACTTTCCTTCCTGTGAATGACTGTTCTACAAAGTTGACTTTATTTTAGAAGTGAAACCTTTAAGTTCGCACTGTGCCTTCTTTTGAATTATATTGGAAAACTACATTGAAAATTATGTGAAAGCACAATCATGATTATTGTAATAGAATAATTCTCAAAGTCAGTTTATTATATTTAATATAAATGTGTATAAATATATATGAATATAAATATAAATGTATATAAATATAAAATATAAAACAAATATAAATATTTGTTTCCTAGTTTTAGGGACAGGATGCATGGGTGGGAAGTGTTATGAGAGAGTAAATGATTGAAAGTGTTATGGTATTATAGGTGAATATAGGAATGACTGCCCCTACTGGCTCATCAGCTCAGTATAGATCAAGGAAATAATAAAAGCGAAGTTGAGCTTACCATGACTAAATTTTAACAAAAAAGAAGCTTCTAGCAATTTTGAATACTATACAAGCTATGTTTCTCAAAATAAAATGTTCTTACATTTGTTGTCTTTAAATGTGCACAGAATATAATTATAGAGACATAAAGAACTTTGATCTCTTTAAAGATCTTTTAATATACTTGGATATACCTGAAAATTCTAGTAAAAAATTTAATTTCATTTTTTAGGAAAAAATAAAATTTTCACATTTAAAAAGAAGTATAATAGATAAAGCCACAATGTTATATTCAGGGTAATTATAAAATGTTAAAATTAAAAAGGGGTTGGGGTGTAACTCAGTGATAGAACATATGTTAACATGCAGGGGGTCCTGGGTTCAATTTATAGTATCAAAAAAATATTAAAATCCCAAACTTCCTTTCAACAGTGGGATACTTTTCATAAATACACTGGTGGGACATTCTTTTCTTTTTTTCTCCACACCACTGGCTAATAATAAAGCCAAGAATGCAGGAGTTCCCAATGGAAGAACACCAATACCAACATGTGCTCCCAGGTCAGTAATAGAAAGCATTCTTTTATTGCATTCTTACATTCATATTTAGGGAATTTAAAATCAGGATTATTATAAAGAAACTAAATCATTATATCACATGGCTTATGCATTATGTATTTCAATCATCTATATTTTATAGATCCAATTTAACCATACAATGTATCATATAATAAATGAGTGCAGAATTTGGAATCCAGTGACTTAATTGGTAATGCATGATATAACATCATAATCAACCTTATATATTATTGATTTCACTGCAGTACATGAACTCATTAAGAATGACAGGAAAGAGGGGCTGGGGATTTAGCTCAGCGGCAAAAGCGCCTTCCTGGCAAGCGCAAGGTCGTGAGTTCAGTTTCCAGTACCGGAGAAAAAACCAAAAAATAAAAATAAAAAATAAAAAATAAAAGAATGACAGGAAAGGTAAAATATGAGAAGCCTTCAAGTATTATATGTCCAAAGCAGTACAATAAAAATCTAGCAAAAGAAGTGATGATAGGTATGCTAATTTTAATAAGTCATGTAATAAAACAAACATTTCATCATTAAAATAAAACTAAAGAAAGTTCTAGATTACATCTCTTTGCCAATAAACATTCTGGGGGCTCATTTTGTTCTATAAGAAGTGGTTACCACTGTCAACATCAATTTACACATGTTCCTTAAGTGATTGTTCATAATCTGTATACCTTGAAACAAGAGTAAAACTCCAAATCTTGACTTAAAAAAATTTAAGTTATTAGCATTAGAAAATGTAAGTTTTTAGAATTTTTAGCATTTAAGTTCTTTAGTGTTAACTAAAGAACAAGTGTATTATTATAAAAATGTAACATACAGATTGAATTCTCTCAGAGGCCCTCCAGTCATAATTTCACTTTATGAAAATGCCAGATTTGGTGATGTTGAATAGAAAGAAAACCTTTCTAAGCTTTTTTTTTAAATCTCCATTTTTCATCTAAGTGGAGATTCTTTGGTGAACAGATAAGTGGAAAGATAATAGCTGATAGTTAAGGGTATTTTCTGTCAGCTTAGTGGACTACAGAAAAGTAAGGACCCCTGAGAGTCTATCAAATGTTTCTGTTGTAAAAGTAAATAAAACAGTTGGTTTCTATGCCTACTCATATTGCTTTATGAGACATTAAAATTGAAACACTGCAAAACTTTAAACATGCTTCCTCTTTCTGCTTTTTTCAGGTGGGTATTGCTCCCTGGTTGTATTTCTTGAGTAGCAGGCACTCACTTAGGCCAAAGCAGGAGCTCTCCTTTGTGCTACCTTTGTAGGAGTCAGCAGTTATACCACCTCCTGATTCAATATTATGTACCAAAAGTAAAATTACAGAAGCATTAATAATTTACATAAACTGAACACAGTAAACTCCTCCTCTCTCTGCTAAGAATACTTTCTCAGTAGTATATATCCAATTCTTATGATAATGTACATTTTCATCATTTCACAGTATAAAACAATATCTGTCACTGTGGCAATCATTCGC